TAATTCTTTATTTTAGTAATTTTTGTAAATTCTTAATTATTTCCTTCTTATTTTTTTTATTTTTTAATTCTTTTTCTAAGTAAATTTACTGAAATAAATAAATCTAATGCATAAGGTATACCTATTCTGCTTATATTCTAGTCATTGAAATTTTGATTGAAATCGAATTATACAGGGTGGCGCGTCATATACGACGCGGTTTTTACAAGGAGAACAAACGTTTATATTGAAGTGAACACCCTATATATTAATTGATTTTTCGATTCTAGTAAAAAAATAAAGGTTTGTTTCATTAGAAAAGTATATGACTAAAGTGTATAGTTTTTGAAATACATTCACCGGCAGGAAAAATCGGCACCTTAAAATTTTGATGTATTTTAAAGGTTAATAAATTTTGTTTTAATGGGCCGATTTTGATGATTTTTTAAGCAGTGTGTAGCCAATTTATTTGACATTTTTGTATTTTTTTCTAAATTAAAAATGAAACTCCCCATCTGTTAATTATACGAGGGCCGCAAAAATATTGATCCTTGAATGCTTAAAACAGCAAGTTAAAAATCATTTTATCATCTAAGTAGATATATCCTTTCTCGATGGTTTGTTTTTTGGTTCATTTCATTAGCTTTATTTTTGTTGGAAATATTCGCTTTTGAAGGAGACACTACCATTTTTTCGTAATTTTTACATTAAGACCATGCCTTTGCTTTTGGGCCTAGTCAACACACCTAGTAAGTTCTGGTCCCGAAGCAGGCCTTCTTGACATAAGATTTGCTTCATTTAATCTTCTTCTTATAGTCCGTTAATTAATATGTACGTTCCTTAAGTGCAATTCATTATCAATTTGAAAAGCTGATAAACGGCGAAGTTAGAAGTTCTCATACGAAGGTTCCTGGACGTCTAGATTGACGTACTCATGAACGTGGTCATAATTCAAAAACCACTTTTTATGTGTTTACTCTATGGTATTAAGGTATTTTTGGAATCGGAATTTTATAGCAAATTCACTGAACTAAACAAATATAGATATATATATATTTGACTCACCCTGTATATCTATAAAAAATATTTTTGAAATGTGAACTATCATTACACATATTTTGTAAAAAGTTTGGAAAATCTCAAATAGGAATCCTGATACAGAGCTTTTCCGGAATACGAAGCCATCTTGTATATATGCATTTGTATATGTGTGTTTATTTAAATACCAAATTATCTTTTTTTAGTTGTTTCTTGGGTCTGGAGGCTATGGTTAGATTAAAACAATAGTTTTTCGACGACGTTTCGCATTTATTGTGTCATGCTTCTTCAGGATTTTTTTTTTGGTCTTTCCTATGTCTTGGAGTGTTTAATACCGTTTCTTTACTGAGACTTGAAAAACTAGTGTTTTAATCTAACCATAGCCTCCAGGCACAAGAAACAACTAAAAAAAATTAAAAAAAAAATAATATATGTATAAGGCTAAAGAATCACTGTCAATAATTTAAATACTAAAGTGAAAGCAACGAATTTAAATGGGTAAACTTAAAATATATCTTATTAACAATACAATGCAAAAAGTTTTATAAAAATTCGTTCACAGTAACTGAATTCCAAGGTTTGTATCCCATAAAGTCTTAAAGCACTCCACGAATTTCTAATCCAACCTCATCCATTCATGAGTACACCTGCTCCGATGCACTTTCCGCAATTCTAACGAGGTCTTCGGTATATTTAGCCCTTACCATCAGCGCAACATCATCTACCTATGCTATGACTTCTACTTGTGCTGGGTATTCCATCCGAAGGAGTCCATCATACAGTACGTTCCATAGTAAAGGACCCAATATAGATCCCTGAGGTACACCTTTAGATACTTTAACTTCTGCATCTTCCGCTTAGATAAGCTTTTATATTTTACACTAAATATAAACTTATTTTCCAATGATATGTAAGTTCATTGATTATATTTTCCCAGTTAGCCGAGCTGAAGGCATTTTTGACATCCTCAGGCTTATTAGGGATTGAATGATAGATAACACGTCAGTAAGGTATTTTTGTTATATATAGAAATTGGTGGTCATGTAAAGATATATTATGTGTTATAATTATTATATCCTTGGATCCTTTAAAATAAATAAATAAATATGGTGTGTCTCTATTTTTAGTTATCGGTTAATTAATGTTATTGTCCTTGTTTGTCATAAGAAATTTTAGAAAACTTAAGTAGATTTCATGAATTTATTACATTAAAATTCCATATAGTTTTGTTTACACATTCTTGTGATATTGTGTGGCAATGCGACAAAAATTATTTCAGATAATTGTTCCTCCTTTTGACTGGTTTGCATTCGCAGTGCGTTTATGCGTGATCAGATATTGAAACTTTCTAAAAATTTAATAATATTCTTAGAAAAACTATTAACTTATTTTTTCATATATCATTTTCCAGTCTGATCAAATATCTTAAGCGTAAATTGTATGTTCGGCAAATCTAATATGGTAGCAGAAAAAAGTCTGTGAGTAAAGCAGATGTGGAAAATCTTGTTTTATTTAATCAAAATGGTCTGAAATAATAAAAATATGCGTTAAAGTTATATGTATAGAGAATACTTTTAGGATAAATAGTGATCTTAAGGTAATAAAAATAGTAAGATAAATAAGTTTATATAAATTTGCATTTACAAATAGCGATATTATATTGCGATCTAATGTGTAACACTAATTTAAAACATATGGTAATTTGGCATTAAATGTTCTTTATCATTAGGTGTTAAATGCAAATAATGCGAAATATTTTATTGTCACTATTTATTAGCAAAAAAACGAGAAGTCTAACTCTTCTCGAGAAAAATACTTTAAACATGGGCCATGATATTGCTTTAATATTTGACATTCATCTTCACAAGTCGCTGAATCAAATTATGATATTTTTTTTCTTTATTTTTTTAATTTTTATGTGTGTAACTCAGTTAAGGTTTTTAGTCACATTTAATTAAAGTTTTTTTACAATAACAAATAGACTTTTAAATAATTAGAAAACTAATCTATACATACTATAATGCAGGATAATGGAAAAGAAAATGTAGTACACTATTATTTATTACAGAAACTAAAGAAGTAAAGTGTTAGATATAAAAGTTCTTTTTAATTATACTAAGCAGTAAAATAAATCTAAAGTTATGAATTAGTAGTATTGTTTAAAAAATAAAAAATAAAATAAAGTAACAAACATTGTAAACATTGGTGTATAATTTTCGCATTTATATATGTTTCAACAGAAATAATGTTGCTAGAAATAAATAACATTAATATTATGAAAATAGTAATTTCAATCTTATATTTTTATAAACATAAAGTAATCAATATACATTTTGCTATGACCAATAAAAATTATATTTAATGGTAGTGTCTTTTAATTCAATAAATTACCTATTTGAAATATTTCAAGATATTTTTTACTTAAAAAATAACAAAATATGTCGATTAATGCAAATTAAATTACATACGTTTTTTTACAGATATTTTAAATATTTTTTGTTTAATATTTGTTGTATTGCGTTATTAGTTATTTTGTATTAATTTATTATAATAAAAATAAGGTACAATACAATTAACATATCCGTTTAATTTTTTTCCTATGCATCGTATTAAACAACTAAAATAATAATAATTTGAAAAATAAAAATTTAAAGAAGGTTGTTATACATAAATATTTGAAGGAAAATTAAAAATTCTTTTTAGTCCTCTGTAGTAAGAAAAAATTATTGAAATTAACCAATGCAACTGCATAAATAATATCAATATAGGAGGAAAGATATTTTACAAATTTTATTGGGGAAAATTGTAGAAATTATTTTGTAAAAATAGAACTAAAAGATGGGAATAAGAACATATATGTTGAGAAATCATGTGAAAACAACATGTTGAGAAACAAAGTAGGCTTTTATTTTTTCCTAACAACTTAATGTAAGAATTAAATAAAATATAAATACAAGAAAAAAATACCTAGTCATTATATAAAACAATAAATAAAACAAATTATAATTTCTAATTAAAGGAAAATATAATAATAATACAAGGTTAATATTATTTCATACAAAAAAGTAAATAAATAATAAAACTAATTAATGTGTACCAAATAGAATAATTTAAAAATGTTTGTTAAGCTGGTAGAGAAATAATCAAAGTGCAGAGTTATTGAGATTAACCATAGATTAAATAACATAATAAACTAGGTACTTCGTCAAATGTAGTTTGTTTATTTACCATTAAAATCCTGGTAAACATCAATACATAATAAGAACTAAATAGAATAATAAAAAACAAATAAGTAATTACACCAATTCCGGAAAAATAATTCAAAATATAGTTAATTAATAGGCAAAACAAATAAAAATATGTTTAATTCTTTTTTAGATTTTAGATAATCCCGGAATTTTCTTTAATATTAATAAAAAGTAAAATATAAAATAATTAAATAGATACAAGAAAAAATATAACCAGCATGCATAGATATTCAAAGATAGCGTTTATGCAGTTTCCTCAGTTTCTGAACAGAAATAAACATAAGAATAAAACAGAATAACAAAACAACAAATAATTTAAACAACAAACCGATATTGAAAAATAACAACAACTAGAAAACACTGTTTATAAATATGTATTAGGGTAATACTATAAAAATATCGTTGAAAAATTCTTAGTTAATAAGGCCTGTTACAGAAAATGTTTGTTTACCTCCCAAAAAAGTTTAAAGACCTACAAAGTATTAATTTACTTATAACAGGCATCTACGGCGTGTTATTGTCTTGGAAATTTGAAGAAAAAACAACAGGAAACGTGGGAAATGTTTGATATCTTTAGTAAATATGTTTATTCAAATCGTGATCTCTGGTTACATTACGCATCATAGGCGAAGTTGTTGACCAGCGTGCATTATCGCCGGCATAGTTCGGCGTGTTGCCGTTACTCTGCCGCATTCTTTGCTATTATTTGAGAACTAAATTCTTATCTGTACGTACCTTTACCACCATCCACTTCCTCTGCCATAGTACTACACGAAAATCTCGAAAAACCGAAAAAAATAAAAACCAATTTCCGTTCAAAGTGGTCGAAAATAGTCAGGACATTATTTTTCGGGAGTGAAGCGGTCGTAGTAAACAATCTCTCGGGGCCTCTAGCTTTCAACTAGTGCAATAGACACACTCACACAGACCCACACACGCACACCACAAGAAACCTTAAAACTTGTACACCAATAGAAACCACAGTTCTGTGCGGCCGCATGTCGCGACTATCGTCCTTCTGTTGTGAGAACTTAGAGCCGAGAATGGCTCGAGCGTCGTGGGGTCCGATGTGAATTCGAAAATGTAGTCGTCGGGTGCGTGCGTTTGAACTTTGTATATAGGGAAACGCATAGTTTACTATCTATATCCTACTAGAAAGAGCGATGCGCGTTCATTCATAAGATTCCTTAGGCGTGTTTTTAATGCTATTAAAATATTTTATTTTCAAAACAAACACGCTGTACGCGGGGCTTGCTCAGAGTAGCAAATATTGTTAATTTTTTAAAAATAAAATAGTTAAATTTTCTGTTCTTAAAGGGGAGTTCATAAGTTTATAACTAGTATTACTTTTATTTAATTTCAAAGATTATGAAACAAAATATAAAAATATGACAAATCTGTAGGCGAATATGAAAATTACGTCTGCTGATGATGATAGCACGCTCGGCGAAACTCAAATTCACAGTGATATGATGTGCTTTTGTAGCATGATAAAAATGTTCTCGAGTGAGCCACCACCTCAAGGAAGGCAACGGTAAACCACCTTTATTATATTTGTTTTGTACAGCCTCTTGACCAAATATGATGTTCGGATTCGGTGATAAACTGTAGGTCCCGTGTACTTGTGTGAAACACTGATGCCACCCACACATCACAAGTTCCTACATGCGAGTTTCTTATAGAAGATGCGAGACCTTGTCGTTTGTGGGGAAGCTTTTGGTCAGGTGCTAGGGGGATCCCCTCTGGCACTTTGGCTAGGTTTAAGGAGCATCTCATTGCCTTATCCCTGGCTGCAGTGTTGTGGCCATGGAACAGGGAATTTCATCCACACGTATAACGATGCTGATGGGATGGGAGCCCTCTACTATCTGTGGTTATGTATCACGGATAGAGGATGTGTGTTTTAGGGTCTTAGCTTAACCGCCTGGGGCAAGAGGAGACAACCGCACCAAAAACCTAAATCCTATGATGGCGGGGCTCATATTTGTAAACAACGTCCATGATAGCGATTCGGTTCTGGGCCGAACCAGGGCCATGTAAGTGAAATATTCAAAATGGTTCCAGCAAAAGTTTCCCAATTATGACGGGTGATGGCGCTGATCGTCAAGATTTTTGGACGGGGATTTTGCTTACCGACAATACGACGTGAGCTACGACCGGGCCATGACCAATCAGAACGATCAGTCTTTCTTGGACATTTGCCGCGGAAGTGTGTGTTAATTTCTGTTGTGAAAAGTGTGGTTGTGTTTGCAGTTTGATTTTTCGGTTTTGATATTATGTTAAAATTAATTTTGAAGTATTGTATCACCTGTTTTTATGTAATAGTACTTTTTTTAGTTCTATGATCTGATATGTTATGATTTGTTAATGCTTGTTTAACAATGTTATACCAAAGAGGTTATTCTTAATATATCAATTTGCATAGCCTACCTATTTTTATCAATAAACTTTGTAGATTTTCAGATTATTTAATTCCTTTTGTTTCCGTTTGTAATTTTATTTTTAAGACATATTATGTGATTGTTTCAGATAATATGTTTTAAAAATAAAATAGCGAATAAAAATAATTAAAATAAAAAAGTGTATTTTACAATTCCCCCCGGCCCCGCACCCCTTTGGCTAACCTGCAAATGTCAGCTTTGTCGAGAGATGGCGTTACGAAAATGGAACCGATTTATTACAAGGAACTTGGGCTTCTTTTTCGATAGTATTTTCTGTGGGCCGAACGATACCGCGTAAACAGCATAGGATATCGCAAATCCGTTTGGTAAATATCATCCGTGATTCCAAATTTTAACTGCGTTGACTCTTCTTATAAACACCAGACGATATCGCGAAATTTATTAATGGGTTGCTCGTTGCTCGTAATCAGCATTCAGGATCGCAAATTTTGTTTTTCAACACGAATTAAACGAGCTAAAAATAAAAAAAGGTTTCAAGCGGCCACCCCTTCCAATAACAACCACGCATATTGCTGCTTAACTTTGGTGATCGTACGAAAAAATACACGTGATTGTTGATTTACAAATATTTCAATTATTATAGAGGACTATAAAGTAAAACTAGTAAATATTGTGTCGAGAAATCAACAGAAAATAGATTCCCAGATGACACTATTTTGTGTTTAACCAACTTACATACGTATGCAAATTACTTAAAATAAAATAGAGATATAATATATTTTCCACAGAACTCAATATAAATTTTTAATACCTATCTTTTCTTAAAAAAAGATGTGTCCTTAACTATAAAAAATATTCAAGAAGGAACTAAGTTACAATCTTCTTGATCTTCTTGTACTAGAAAAAATCAAATTTTACCTGCAAAGAAACCACACAAACTGGTCAAAGTGGCTGTTTAAAAGAGGAGTTAAGTTAGTTAAAATTTGGAATCACGGATGCTATTTACTAGACGGGTTTGCGATATCGTATGCTGTTTACGCGGCATCGTTCGGCCTAGAACTGAATCGCGATCATGGAAGTTGTTTACAAATATGCTGGCGGGACCAGGTCTAAGGGATGCGTGGTTAGATAGAACACTAGCCTTTACTGGTCTCAATTAGTGTTTTTAACACAGCCATGGCACTCTAGATTGAAATTGTCTTAAGCGAAAATGTCAAAAGTTGACATATAATATGTCATTATATTCAGAGTGTCATTTTCTACCGAATAAAGTAAAAAAAATACCGATGGTGCCATATAAAAATAAAAAGTTGTAGTCATTTCCGTTGAAACAGGAAGTGACAAAAAACTATTGAATACGTCAAATTTAAATTTAAACTACGCGACGCTAAATTGATTTACGTGGTGGATAGAAACTTCTTCTATTGGTTAGTATGAAATAAATGAACGAATCGCGAAAGCACTTCTCATGCTTGCGTAGTTTAAAGTTGTTGAATGAAAAGGACCGACTTATGTGGATTTTGTATGCTCCATCTCAAAGAATTGGCTTCAATTTCTTTTCCTTACTAGCAATATAATCTTATAATATATATTTGGTTGGCAACAATGAATTTAAAAATCGCGCCCCCGATTACGTCACTAAAAGTTTAATTGATATCAAATATAGTTATAGCATTGTTATAGATAAGGAAATACTAGGATATAATGGGTGGTTTGGTTGCAAGAGTTTTGGGTGGACAACAGAAGACGTCGACTGTAACTTGGGGACATCTATTGATAGAACTTCAAGAAAAAAAATATTAAGAGATATCTGTCAAGATAAATTCCTGTAAATTATTTTTGTAAGTTAGAAAGTTGAGCGCTATGGGGAGTAATAGTAACACAAAATCGATAACATCATTTGTTTTAATTTTCCTAATTGAAGTCTCTATATATTCTCTCGTCACTCTGATCATTTACAGATAAGTTCAATACGTAATTTCGGAGATCAAATGATTCATGTCTTATTTTTTTTCCAGTACGTAGTAACGATGCATATTAACGCTCCCGAAATTTCCATGAAACGCAATAATGAATGGATGTGACATTGGGTTCAAGTGCGTATTACGCATAATCATTTGAATACAGATCCGGCTGTTGTTTATCAAACCACATTGATTATGAAATCCAATGTGGTTTGACTTTTATATTATAATGAAAATACGCACCGGGTAACAATAGTTCTCAAGATTAGGTACATATCGATCTGTTTGAACATCAAAACAAAATTTATTTCTATTTTTTTATAGATCAGTAAAATCAGAAAATGGCTTTAAAGGTGTAATCAAATTTAATGAAATAGAACTGGAAAATTTGGTTTCATGGTAAATTCGACTTGCTTTCGAGCCCGTTTTAAAATATATAAAATAGGAAAGGTGGGAGCTGAACTTTAAAAAAGTCTAAAAAGTATATTATTTGTAAATTAACTTACGTTTTAATCAAATTTTCCTTTAAATTAAAAAAACTGAAAAATTGGTAAAATAATAAACGTCTTGTAGTTAATACAAATATTGTGTTAAGGAGATTCCGTGGGTTCTCTAATCCAAAAAAACACGATAAAGAACTATTTACGAATTTACGAACGAATTTATTTTCTAGAATTAGAAATATTCTAACTGTACAATAGAATAATTATCTAGGAACTTCGCCAATTTGTCACAATTTACTATTACAAAACTCCATTCAAAAACTAAACTGAACTGCCGAGCGCGAGGAGCAAATCATACGCAGTTGATCGTGGTAATTTCTATTCTAAAACTCTGTTGTATTTTTTTTGTGTCCAGAAAGTTCTTCAAAGCATCCGGGATTTCCCAAGTATAAGAGATGGCGCGTTACTCAATTCCCGAAAGATGTCGCCACGCTTCTTGACAATATAAACACCAATGACTAAAGAATACAAGGATACATTATAACACCCGAGACCAAACTGTGACCATTCTTCCCAACAGTCCCATGGCACATATTTTTCTTAACATAGCCGCTTGAAGCGATATTTATATTTTTGATAAATGTTTTGACTACGCCTATGGTATATGCGGTGGTATGATACTAATTAATTTAGTTTTACGAAAAAAACGTATTAAAATGTTAACAAAAGGTACAAAAACAGTATCGACATATAGCACATATTAAGTACATATTAGTGATGGGAAAAACCGATTAATTTCAATAATCGAGTACCCGAGTACTCGAGTTTCAAGCAATTGCAATAACCGAGTGATCGCTCGAGCGAAATATCACTCGTATTTAAAAATACGGGTTTTCACCCGTCGCTTGTGGTAAGTACTCGTTAACGCCAAGCGTCAAGCTGTAAGTTCCGTGCGCAGTGATGAATGGCAGGTAGCAAGCGGCGAGCGATTTGCTTGATCGCTTGGCTTGATTTAGTTTATTTCAAAGCATTGTCGATGTAGGTCGTAAAATTTTGTCACTCCGATACGCAATAGATACGGATAAATATATATACGTGTCGTATAAATTTGCTACCTGCAATGTATGTAGAAAATTCGCTTTTTATCGAGTATGTCACATTAAAATCGGATTTCAATTTATTTCATTCCAGGATCGCTTGCGTTCGTCGCTCGTAACTCGTCACTTGCATCGCTCGTTCATAATCGAGCAATGTCG